AAGACAGCTCCCACATCCCCGGCATGCAAAGCCTGGGCAAGCTGGGAATGCAAAAGCTGCCTTTTTCTACAACTATCGAAGGCCAAAAAGGCAGCCCCCGCATCCCCAGCATGCAAAGCATCGCCCCAGGCACCTGCAGAATGATGAGGATGACGCTGGGGATGATGAGGCTGCTGATGATGGCGATGTCGATGATGATGCTGAAGAATGATGCTGAGGATGATGATGCCGATGATGATGATGCCGATGATGGTGAGGATGATGATGATGATGGATGGTGATGGTACTGAGGATGATGACGATGATGATGGTGATGATTATGAAGAATGCATGATGGTATTAATGGATGCTGAGGATGATCACGACGCCGCTGATGATGGTTATGATGATGACGATCATGATGATGAGGGTGCTGCTTCCTGATTTTTCTGATGCTGCTAATGATGAGGATGATGATGGTCTGGATGATGATGATGCTGCTAAGGATGATGATGATGATAGTGACGACGATGATGATAGTGACGACGATGATGATGATGATGATGATGATGCTGGTGCTGATGATGACAATGATGAGGATGCCGGATGACGAGGATGATAATGATGATGATGCAGGATGATGATGATGCTGCTGAGGATGAATGGGTTAGAGGTTACGGTTAGAGGTCAGGTTTAGAGGTTAGGGTTAGAGGTGAGGGTTAGAGGTTAGGGTTAGAGGTTAGAGTAGAGCATCCAGCATCTCGTCATCATCATCCATCATCAGCATTACATTTTATCCTCATCACGATTGTCAGTATCATCATCACCATGCATCAGCATCGTTATCCTCATCATCATCATCATCATCGGCGTCATCATCATCATCATGGGCATCAGCAGCATCACTGTCAGTATCAAGAGCATCATTTATCAGCATCATCATCCTCACCATCATCATCATCGACATGATCATCATGATCATCATGATCATCATCAGCTCCATCATCATCATCATCCTCGGCGTCATCATCATCAGCATTCTTCATCATCAGCATCCTCACCATCATCATCATCGTCAACATCATCCATCATCATCCTCACTATCATCATCATCCTCATCCTCATTATCATCGTCATCCTCATCCTCATCATCCAGCAACATCATCATCGTCATCATTATTTATTATCAGTATCATCATCATCATCATCCATAATGATGATCACCATCATCATCCATCATCGCCAGTATCGTCATCATCCTGAGCATCATCGGCATCATCAGCATCATCATCATCAGAAAACATCATCATCATCATCATTCATCATCATTATCAGCACCATCATCATCATCATGATCGGCATCAACATCATCATCGCCATCCATCAGCATCATCATTGGCATCGTCACCCATCATCATCATCAACATCATCATCATCATCAACGTCATCGGCATCATCGTCATCATTAATCATCATCACCACCACCATCATCATCATCATCATCATCATCATCATCATCATTCATCATCATTATCATCATCATCAACATCAATCATCATCATCATCCATCCATCATCGTCATCATCATCGTCATCATCCTGAGCTTCATCAGCATTATCATCGTTAACGTCATCATCATTCATCATCGTTATCATCGCCATCATCATCACCACCGTCATCATCATCATCATCATCATCATCATCATGCATCATCATCATGCATCATCATCGGCACCATCAACATCATCATAGTCTTCCATGGTCTTCCGTCATCTTCCCGTCAGCTTCCCGTAGTCTTCCGTCATATTCCCGCAGTGTTCCGTCATCTTCCCGTAGTCTTCCGTCAGTCTTCCGTCATCTTCCCGTAGTCTTCCGTCATTTTCCCGTGTTCTTCCGTCATCTTCCCATAGTCTTCCGTCAGCTTCCCGTCATCTTCCCGTAGTCTTCCGTCATCTTCCTGTAGTCTTCCGTCATCTTCCCGTAGTCTTCCGTCATCTTCCCGTAGTCTTCCGTCATCTCCCCGAAGTCTTCCGTCAGCTTCCTGTCATCTTCCCGTAGTCTTCCGTCAACTTTCCGTAGACTTTTTTTTTGGCCATAGTCTTCCATGGTCATCTTCCCGTAGTCTTCCGTCATCTTCCCGTAGTCTTCCGTCATCTTCCCGTAGTCTTCCGTCATCTTTCCGTAGACTTCCGTCATCTTCCCGTACTCTTGCGTCATCTTCCCGTCAGCTTCCCGTAGTCTCCCGTCATATCCCCGCAGTGTTCCGTCATCTTCCCATTGTCGTCCGTCTTCCCGTCGTCTGCCGTCATCTTCCCGTAGTCTTCCGCCATCTTCCCGTATTAGGGTTAGAGGTTAGGGTTAGAGGTTAGGGTTAGGGGTTAGAGTTAGAGGTTAGGCGTGTCAAAAATCCGCCGCGGGACCCCCCCTCCCCCCCTCAGACTCCTCCTAACCACGACTTAGAACACGCCTCGCCCCTTTGCAGAGACTAACTTGGCTTTTGCAAAGGGGTCGGCGGATTCCTTATTTCAGGTTGCGCCAGATGCGCAAGACTGCACGACTCCATCGCTGCCGCTTGATTCGCCCCAGTGCAGTTTTACTTGCATTTGCTAACTTGGAGCACCCTGTTCCGCTTACTGTGTGAGCAATTGGCAATACTAACCAAGGAGTAATGCACGCCTCGTGAAGAGAGAATTCATGCCCATTCCCCGTTGTACTTGCGACTTTCTACCTGTTCTTGCGACCTGGTGACTTGGAATTGGCGGTCGTCAGAGCACCATGGCAATCTTCGCAAGTCTGGTGACTTGTGCAGCCATGGCATCAATACGGGCATGCAGTCTCACGAAGTGCATGCATTTGGGTAATGAACGGATAGCGATCTCAGAAAGGTTTTGTTTTTGCAACCTCGGGACTTAGGCTGAAGGCTTCTCTCGCGGGGTTCCACAGTTCCGTTGTATTCTGAGTTTGGTGAATCAGAAAGATTCCCCCAAACATGTTTCATGAGACAATATTTTCTTTGGGTCTCCCTTTAAATGCCATCCAAAACGAGTTCCCATTTCTAGGAAACGCCCTTTGGATGGGAGTTCGGCTATGTTCCCTGGAGGCTCAGCTGCAGAGGCTGTCGGAATACATGGCTCACCTGGAGTCGTGCTCAACTCAGCCACTCAGCGGGCGGCTTGAAGTTCGGACCCCTCGCGAAAATGTGTAGCCTTCTGCAGCCTACCTCTATTTGGCGGTCGTTTCCAGAAGCTGGTTTGTGGTGTATTTTCACATTTGACTTTCATCTCAATAGCTACATCAAGAGGACAAGTGGGCTAAAATCCACAAACCACCAACCAATGGAACCACCAATCCAGACCACCAAAGATGGAGGGTGACTTTTGGCCGATATCATTGCCTGAGTTAAACCAATGTTGCATGAGCTGACTTGGGGTGGGGTGATAGGTAAGATCATAGGGAGGGAGGCATGCCGAAACCACGGGCAACTCTATTGAACAGATGTGCAACATTCTTTGTCCCCACTGCACACCACTGCAGAATACAGACACCTCTCACCCTGACGGGATGATCTTGAGTTGTTGGAGCCCGTGTGTTTGGAGAACAGGTTCGAATTAATGCTAAGCTCATATTTATCTGAGTGGCTTAGGAGATTCCTTGAAATAGTCAATCAACTGAAGATGTGCTCCTTTGCAGGGTCAGACGGATTGCAAGTCATCTGGCCTCATTTCAATGTTTGATCCGTTGTGGCGGGATTCGTATTGGGCTGCCGTGTAAGCTTTTTTGACTGAGTTTTGCCACGCATGTTTCAAAAAGGATCAAATATCGGAAACCGCCCAGGAGTTGGCAACCTGTTACAGACTGCTTGCCCGCCTTGAGGTGCAGAATCTGAGCACGGACCCGCGGCCCTGGATCAGCGGAGCGACCGTTGAGTGCCGGAAACAGCTGGAGCCCGGGGTTTGACTAACTCCCCAAATGCGAAGGGACCTCGTGGATTTCGGAATTGAATTAAAGGTTCCTTGGGGTCACAAGGCACACGACCACACGGGGGATGGGAGAGCTTTAGACTTGGATCAGACTTGTAGCAGCTGTTCCACCAACATGTTCACAACCTGCACTCTGATATGACCATTATGCGCCGTTTTCTTATTCATATGGGCAAGGCCGAAAAGAGAGAATTTGCCTGCCGCCGCCAACAAAAGCCACGACCACTATCACCATAATTAATCATCAAACTCCAAAACTCGGCAGAAACAGCAAAATCATCATCATCATAATAAATAATAATCATCATCGAATCATCACCGTCACCATGACCATCATCAACACAGCCATCACCATCACCATCACCGTCATCAACAGCGCCATCACCATCACCATCACCATCACCATCACCATCATCAACAGCGCCATCACCCATCACCATCACCATCACTATCATCGTCGCCACCACGACCACCACCACCACCACTACCATCATCATCATTATTATTATCATCATCATCATCATCATCATCATCATCATCATCATCATCATCATCATCACAAGCGTAGGTTCGATGTTCCTCATGACATCGTGTTTGGCCAAGCACTAGCGGCCGGTTTTTGGCTGGCAGCTTTGCATATGACCAACCTTGGGAGCAAGCGTATCTTTGATTGCCATTGTGCCGGCCTGTCTTAGGGCAATTTGCTGCTTGTGCCGGCCTGTCTTACAGGAGTCAAGGGCCGACCACTCGTGAGATCACTGCGATCTGTGGAACACAAGGCAAGTCATGGTTGATGCATCCCCGGATGTTTTCGCAACACGGACTGCCATCAGATGTGGCACAAGACGGGCACTCTTGCTTCGACATGTATCACGTTTGGACAAATTCACCCCACTCAATCTCAGGCCGATAGATGCCCACAGGCCCGGAGCCCCTGTCTTGCCCTGAAGCTTACCGCAAGTCCCATACCTCAGAGCCAAGCAAACTGACCCTAGCCAACATCTGAACTCGGCTCTCCGGCCGAATTTGCGTCCCGAGCGCATGGTGCTGCAAGTGCCTTGGTTGCCGGGCCCGGCGGCGCTGCAAGCGCCGGTGGCTGCGGAGCTCAGAGGCGTGCGTGGCCTGTGTGCCACACGAAGAACATGGCTGTCGTTTGGAGTTCCCTTGGGGCTCACTCAGCGGTTTCTTCTATAGAATGCTGGGGACCCCACGAGTAAGGTTCCTCTTGGAAGCAAATTACAAAAGTGGTGGAGAGTCGGAAAGCACTGTGCATGACTCGCGCTGCTCCCTTTGTATTGCTCTTTAAAGCAATGCCAAATATCCCGGGCCAAGCACCAAAGCCTGGGCATGCATGCATACATTGCTCAGATGGGAGAACTGGGGAATTGACCACCTCCTAGGTCTTGACGGTTTAGGGAGACAGACATGTCGGCGGCTTGTCAGATAGTTTGAAATCAAACGTGCACATAAACCAGGCCTGTGTTTGTGTGGTCCCCAATTCTTGGAGGATTCACCCGCCCCCCCCCTTTGCTTCATGGCCATGCAGTGCATAAGTTTGGCTTCCATTGTGACAAGCACCAGATTATGAGGAATGGTCAATTATTGGGATTTCGGGTTTGATGATCCCATTCGTTTTGTAGATTGAAGGGTATTTCAGGGTTAGTTTTGCACGGTGCCCTATCATTGTCTCGCTCTATAGCCCAGTGTTTCACAAAGAGCCAGAATCAGCTTTCGTTTATTTGGGAGGCTTCGCTTTAAAGACCTGGAGTTGTTTCCTTGCTGGTGCGATTGGAAAACAAGAGCCAAGGAGGTGGACGTTGTTTGCGTTCGGTTACCCGTTTCTTGGTTTTGGAGGCCCTCCCCGCTTCAATCGATATGACTACATGGCTACTTGCTCCAGCATAGCCGTTTGCAACCCAGGCGGAGGTTGGTGCTCCGCTTGAAGGTAATCTAGCGCCCGCGCGAGTGCTCGCAGGCAATGGCCGGCCTTGCAACCTCACAGGGTTTCATGCGGCGAGCACATCGCTTCGCCTGGGCTTAGGCGACTGGGTCAGCCATTCGGGATGGCTCTTGAAACATGGCGTAGGGCAAGAGTTTCTTTGTTTCCGTTTTGGGAAGGATCAGACATTGTAGCCCCCAAAGGATTTCGATTTGAACGATGCCATGTTTGGGTGCAACATATCATTGTTGGGAGGAAGGCTACGGCTATCCCTCGAATTCCCCGTGCTTTGCAGTCCTCAGAGTCTTAGTCATACGACGAGCACAATTTTGAGCCTGGGACGAGACAATTGTTTGCCAAGCCAAATGAGCGGCATCACCGGTATGAGTTCTGCTTCTGATCCCCTCAAAACCGTGATCAATTTACATTTCTCGTCATGGGCCGGTTGGCTCATTGGTTGCCCTAAGGAGAGACGTCCAGTCGTTGTATATCTGGGGCACCGTTCCGGAAGCCTATTTCAATTCGCTGTCCCAATTAAGAAGCAGGGGGGAGTGCTGATTTCCAAGAGGTTTGGAGTTGTGCCCGAGGATTACACCGCTGTTTTTCCATGGCTCACTATTATTGAGCTTCTCTTGGCACGACTCCCGAATTGGGGGTCTCGTCCTTTTGGAGCTTGCTTTCCCCAAAATAATCAGCTGTTTTTCTCGGCTTTCCGTTTTTGAAAGCCCGCCCAACCTTAATTGGTGCAATTCGGAGCTGTGAAGCCAGCCGCGCCCGCCGATCCTCGCCCAGGTGTGGGCCTGGGCTTGGTGCGAAGGGCGAAGGCGCGCTACGCGCCGCAGCCCAAGCTAGATCCTGAGCTGATGGGCCTCGCCATGCTGAACCAGGAGGGGTGGGGCCGCCCATGAGTGCTCAAAGCGTGTTCCCCTTACAACGCGGGCTCCAACATGTCAAGATCAGGTATGTGCATGTCATGTGTAAAACACACATGTTGCTGAATGATTTCCCACCCAGGATCCCACCCATTGCTTTTCTGAGCTGAAGAATCGCTGGGCTCGCTGCACCACAAGATGACAGTTGGATTCTCAGTTGACACGAGTTCTCTGTCCAGAGTTTGCTCTGGCTCACGAGCAGCGCAGCCTGAAGGAAGGCTTGAAGCTCGCGCAAGGGCGTTGCCCGAGCCGATTGATCTAGCCGTCGGACCTGCGCTTCGAGGCGGTCACCTCCGTCACCTCAAGCGTGAGTCTTTCACCAGGAGAGCACAAGGTCTCATCAAAGGCTTGGAGCTTGGAGCCGGCTGAGCCATGCTGAAGCAGCTTTGACACGCGGAACGCACGCATGTCCTGGAGAGCACGCAACTGGAAGAGCATGCAAGTGTTACAGGGAAGGACAGTGCGGCTCACACTCGCAAGATTGCAGGCATTCAGACCCTGATCTTCAACGCATGGTCACGACTTGCAGAACATCGGGCGCAGGACCTGTGATTTACGTTTGACAACAGCTAGAGCTTCTCTTACCACACACTGGAGCCCCGGTTGCTCAAACACAGGAAGGGCTGCGGCCTGGCGCAGCCAGGATTGCAGGCATCCAGACCCTAATTTTGAAGAACCCTTCCACGCTTATTGGGACTACGCATAGTCAGTATTGGCAGCCCACGCCGCACAGGTCTTGGGCTGTTTTTGCTTCGGGGCCAAGCGCTCTGACTTAATTTGGAATGTTGGGGCTTCGAGTGACTCGGGGAATTCCAACAACCTAGGAATTTCAGCAAACCCAGTAGACTCTTGAAGTTAAGACCCATTCCAAGCTTCTCCAGCGTAGGCCTGCCGAGAAGCAGAGGTGCCTTGCCAGAGATGATGGCGGCGTCAGTCAGTCCATGCATACGCGGCTGATGGTTGCTGAACCTTCAGTCGGTGGCGTTTCTGATCCGATCAACCTACTCAGGGCGTGCCGGCGCCGTCAACAATGAGTTCCTCTTCAGTTCCCACCTCGGCTTGCTTGGCGACGCAGGGCCACCGAACTTCCCGAGCGTGGCAGATTGTGGATCATTTCTCGCCAGGACAGCACGAGCCTTCAGGCCTCTTCTGAACCTTGAGTCAGTTCAGTGGAGTTGAAGGATTCCTCAAAGGTGGGGCGGAAGACCTGCGGCCCCCGCGCGTGCTTCAGAACGCCAGTCACTAGGTGAGCCCAGCGCAGCACAGAGAAATCCAGCCTGCCTTCGCCGGCACTTGCTGAAGGCTCGTGGACCGATGTTCCAGAGCGAAGGATGAACAGGCCGCCGGCTCCTCAACACCCTCGCCGTAGCCCAGGCTCGCCACGTGCGAAGGCAAGTCTAGGAAGGGTTCGTGGAAAAGTGAATTGCGGAGCATGAATGAGGCCCGTCTGAACCGTAGCCTTTTGCTCTATCTGCTTGCCCGCCGGGAGGACGGCCTAGCCTCGCAAGGTTCATGGAAAAGCGAATGGGGGAGCCAGCGCGCGGCTCAGACTACACCGAAAAGCGTCACAGAAAGCACGCCACGAGGTAAATTTGACTCAAACAACTGCGTGTCGAATCCCCAAAAAATACACCTCGGAAACGCACAGTTTCTCTCTGGAAAACACCACAAAATTAGGTACAGGCTACGATGTTGACACACACACACACACACACCCACACACGCGCACATATGTATATATATATACATATATATTACTTACTTGTCAGTTTAACTACTGTAGCTGTTTATTGGTTTATGTGTTTGTTTATTTGCTCATCTATTTATTTGCTATATTGTTGAATTATTTGCTTCTTTGTCAAATGTGTTTGTCTCTTTGTGTGCTTAACTAGCTTTTGTTTATCTACTTGTTGATTTTGTTTGTTTGTTGATTTGTTTGTTTGTTTGTTTGTTTGTTTGTTTGTTTGTTTGCTTGCTTGCTTGCTTGCTTGCTTGCTTAGAGAAGGGGTATAAACGCTGTATAAAGGCAACGACACAAACTATGTGTGTTTGACATGTTTGTTTCTCGCTTTCTGAGCAGGTGCAGCTTCATGTTCCAAAAAACATGGAGAGGGGGAACTGCACTTGCATGGGGTGGGCTAGATGGGTGGCAAAAGGTTTGAGACAGGTGGGCCAACAGCTGGAAGCAATCAAACCAGCATTGCTGGCCAGGGCCCCAGGTACAGTAATCGTTGCTTAGAAAGATGAGTAAGGCATGATCCTGATGTTTTGTTGAAGTCTTCTTGTTGGGCATAAAATGCAATTGCTAGGTATTTGTTACATGCTATGTGCTGGCAAGTCTTTGTTTCCTTTGCAATGCTGCTTGGAAAATAGATGACGGTGGATATTTGCCACGCTGGTCATGTTCCAAACCCCTTTCATGTTGCATGGGCGGCCCTTGTTTGAGCAGTCGAAGTGACATTTTGGTTCCTCCTCGTCAGGCGGATGCTAGAAATTAAAGGCTCCCTTTTGGAGCCATGGCAAGGGGGAAGCAACGGGCGCAAACGCCTAGGCCCTCACATGTTGGGAACTGTGCCTTTGGACCAGCAGTAAGACTGTTGCAACACAAGGGGGGGTGTCTTAAAATGGAGAACCCCCCCAAGCAAAACGTGGCTTTCCCTTTGGCTTCCCTTGAGAACAAACCCAAACGGCTACCCTCGGAAAAAGGATACCCCCACCAATTGCTTCTTGCTTGATGGGTTGAATTCTATTTGGGCTGCCAGTTTGGGCGATGCTACGGATGATTGTCGCATTTTGGGGAACGAGAGGAAGAATATTTATGCCTGCTTTCAACGCTTGTCAAGCCTTCCAACCTCACCCATGTGCGAGGAGAGCGAGGATGAGGAGTTCCAGCCGGAGCCGACTGAAAGTCCCCGGGATGACGATGATGAGCCGCTCATCTCATCCCCGTGTTTGGACAAACGACGGGACCGTTTTGACATCATTCTGCGTTTCAAGGTTCACAAAAAAGGCACGAGTCAGAATCCAAGATCATTTTCGAGTCGTGGGTAGAAGCCGTTGGTGTTCTATTTGTGCCAGAGCACTGTCCGCCGCGCCTCACAGAGACTGAGCTCCAGCCACAAGGACCCAGGGTGCTGAAGGCCTTAGGATGACCCGAGGACTCAATTGGAACCCACCCTTCCCCGCTGCATGAGGCATGTGCAAGATCTGCGGATGAGCCATCAGGTTTCTTAACGTGTTTGCCAATACCATGATCACAGCTAGCTACTATCGTTGTGCTTTTGAAGGATACATCCAGTGGCTATGCTATGCCTTGAACCACGCAGAACATCTCCTTTATTCTCAAACGATTGTATTTCTTTTGAAGTTAGTCCTACTTCACCAACTCTTGCTATTCCCATACCACGTTGCATAACATGAACAATTGCATGTGCTTCACCTGGTAACAGTGCAGTACCATATTCACGTGTAGCCATGTGCTTTTTCTCAGTTACAAAGGTGTTTCGTTAGTATACTTGTCCAAACAATGTGCCAAAGCTGTTCTGCTGCCGCCGCTCCCTGCTGTTGCTGCCAGGCCTTTTTCCGGAGCGAGGACGTGCCTCTAACCTATGGAAAGGGGCAGCCTTGGAAACAGTATAAGATAAACGGGCTCACAGGGAATTGTAATACATCATGTAAACAGCAATAAGATAAAGGAACAAAAACGTGGTTTTGCGGAAAAAACAAAACACGTATTGAGTAGCCATAAATCCCAATCACATCATATTAAATATGAACAATCGCCAATCAATATGAGTTGGAAACAAATCGAATAGTCAAGGTGTTACAACTTGAATATAAACAGATTTCAATCATGTTGCTTTGGTTTGCTTCATTATTGTAGGTTAGTCGTTTGAACATGTTTGACATGCTTGTGACGCAACCAATAGGTGCCAACCGCACAGTACACCGCCAGCATCGCCCCAATTTCTACTCGCATCACTCAGTTCAGCTGAGGTCCTGGGTCTTCTGGGACGAGCAGCGGAACCCCACGATGGGCTCCGGCGGGTTGCCCCGGCAGAAGACGGCGGCGCCGCTGCCTGAGCCCCTGCCCTCGCTGACGCCTCCAGAGCCCGGTGCCGGGGATGACACAGAGGATCAGGACGGAAGGTTGCAGCGTGTTTAACCTGTGATTCCTTAAAATAATTATGGAAGAATTGAACTTTTGCGTGGTGGTCAAGATGTTTTTGTTTGGAACGCCGAGGCGTTTCTGAGGGGCACCCTCCAATGTCCCCTTGAAACCTACCCGACAGGAGCGGACCTTTCAGAAGGCCTACGGCGCCCAGCCGGTGATCATGGACACTGACGGCCGGCCTTTGAAGGCGCTGCCGCATGCCACCGTGACCCAAAGCCGTCCCCGTTTGAGTTGACACATGCCCATTTGTAGCCAGTTTGCTTATGCACTGGTCCCAACTGGTGCGATCTTTGAAATCTTTTTGGGAGGTGCCGCAGTATTCCAGCTTCGAGGAGGCGGTTCGGGAGTTTCAGTACCCTGCCTTCCTGCAGGCCAGCGGCCGGATTTCGAGGCATTGGGCATCCAGCGTCGAACTTTCAGCCTCAGCTCAGTTTTTGTTTTTGTCAAGTCTTCTACCAAGCGAAACCACTGATTCGAGTTTTTCTTACTGAGGGTTCTGGTCAAATGCTCACCAGCCTATTGCATTGCCTTCGTGTACCGTTATGTGGTTTACACCTGAATCCAATTGAATCATTGAAGGGGGAGATAGGATGATTCTTGTACTGGCTGGATCTCCTTCGCGTGCCTCAGGCCGGGCTTGCACGGAAGGGCTTCTACTTCCTCACGCCGGTGCAGCAGTGTGCGCTGCCCCTCATGCGAGGCCCAGGGGCCCATGAGTTGGTTCTGATGGGCTGCCACAACCCGCAGGTGTGACTGGTCACGGGACCCGCATGAAAAGCGGCGGTTGGAGAGATCTTTCGGTGTTCCGCGGGGAATTGCAGGAGGGTAGCCATATTCGTGCTACATCGCTTTGTCGTTGGCTTTGGCCCATGCACTACATCATCCCTTTTCTCCGCTCGTTGACAGGTTTTAACCGACCATAGGGGGACAGTGATTGTAGAACTGATCAGGTGGTTCGATTGGCGCTTCAGCAAAACTTCACAGGTCACAGGTTGCAAGCAGCTGGATAACAAGACAGTGGCTTTGGAATGACAATGGTTTCAGTGTGTTCTTGAATGCGGTGGACCTAAGAGGTTTCAGTTTTCAGTTCTGAGGCATACTTGAATGAGTAGCCATTGCACTTTCTGGTGAGGGCTTCTGCACGTGCGTTGGGGCGTTGGGTGCAGCGAACGAGTCAGGTCGAAGGAAACTGCTTGCCTTAGCAATTCCCTGAAGTTGACTTTGTATAGTTCCTTAGATACTGCAAGTGACAAACCAAAAGCCTTGTGACCTAAAATGGTTTGTGGTTGCCTAATTTGCAAGAAGTATTATTGGGAAATCAATGTCGCTTCTGTGAAGCCGGAGTTTTTGTTTCACTGTCCTTCGGAATACACTTGGGATTGGGCGAACAAGCGTACCTGTTGAAACCTGCTCTCCCTAGTCAACCAGCGATTCGGAAGTTTCGTGGCTCGACTTCATTTCCACAAACCCTAGCCGATGAATGATCAAGCAATGCTTGTGCCTCTATATATATGGGACACATATATATTTATAAAATATATATGGGTCTGTCTCCAAGGGAAAAGGGAAGCGGAGATCTCCTGTTTGGAGGCCCACCTTTTCCCCGATGTTGGCAATATAAGATTCCAGTCACTGCCCGGCCGTTTCTGCGCGCAGGCGGCCACGACTTCTTGGCGTCCGCCTTCACGGGCTCTGGCAAGCCCGGCCCTAAGGAAGTGGTTGCTCCGGTGGAAGAAGACTCTTTGGAGATGAACGTGATGGTCTTGACGTTGCACATTAAGTTTGGAGATTAATTTGGTTTGAAGCCGAGTGAGCATTTTCAGTTTGGCCTGGGGGTTGGTAATTACTTGGTTGGAGCGCTGCAAGCTTCCAACCGCGCACACCCCTAAGCTGGCTTGACCAAACCAGGCTTTGGCTGGACAATTGGTACTTCTTGGGTTTACTCCCTGTTTGGTTTACTTTGCAGTAGCCGAGGTTCTAAGGTTCGACGAAGTCAACGGCGTTTGTCTTTGAACTATGCAGGCGGCAGCAGACGAAAACTCTGGAAAACAACAATAGTCAAACAGAGTACAGACATAAACAAATGGTCTTTCAACAGGTAATAGAAGTCACAAGACGATAGTTGTCCTTGTTTGGCAAGGACAGCTGCCTACATGCTGCCCATCCTCAAGAGCATGCACGAGGTGGGACGAAATTCAAAGCCAGGCAGAGGAAAACAACGGGCTTTTCTCCTTCTCTGGTGGGTGCGCTTTTCCAAATGCATCAACACCAGGAATCCACCCACGTCAGTTCTTCTTCACACACGACCCCAGTTCTTGACACAGTGTCAAGGCCCTTACATATCCATTTCAGTGTCAAGGCCCTTGCAGCTTTGGGACGGGACGATCCCACGTCGAGAAAGCAAGGGAGTCGCCCTCAAGGCTTCATGCAGCTAAACCGTATGGGGAAACCTATTTGAGAGCGGCAACAGCGGCCACCGGCGATAACGGCCTCCAGGGGTTAGAGGCTCTGCTTACAACGAAGCTAACAGAATAAATCGCTAGGGTTGGGTCTGTTTGATGGGACTCGGCTTGGCTCCGTTTGGAGTTGACCTTTCGCAAACTTTGCCAAGAGAAGTGGCCAACTCATCTACCGGATGAGCCCTAAAAAAGAGCGAGCGTCCATTGGTCGGACTTCAAACGCCCGATTTTGTGCTGGGGTAGGCTTTTTCCCATCCTTATTGCCCTTGGCCAACAGCTATCCCCAGACGTTGTGTTGCAAGCTGCACTCAAAGGGAACATTTTGGTACACCCCTGTATCCCGTCTCATCTGCCTCCGATCCTGGAGTTGTCAAGTGCCAATGGTGCAATACAGTCTGCTATGCCTTGTTGGACCTCATGAGGCGCTATTAGGCCCTATGGGAGGATACAGACCTAAACCTGACATTTCCCTGCACCGCCCTTCAGCGCCCCGTCCCGCACCGCCCGTTGTGTTTCGACAGGCGGCTCGGCTGGTGCCGGGCGCTAGCGTGGCAAGCCACTACAAGACCAAGGACTGGCAGTTTGGACCGTGGTGCTGGATGTGCAGCATGTGCCAGGTTCTTCGTCCCAACGCAATCCCCACACCTCGGGCCTTAAGTACTGCATGGAAGTGTTGGATATGTAGGGGGGGCGGGCCCCCACGCTGCTTCCAGGCGGTGGGGTTCAGAAGCGGCTTTGTGCAAGAACGAGCGCGAGACGTTTTGGGGGACAGCTTTTACAGGGCATATAGTGTGAGACTCACCGTTTCAAGGGCCCCTAGGTTTCAGACATCCCCCAAGTGATAAGGAATTATTGCACAACATCCTTTCATGCTGCATGCCACTCTGACTTAGCCCGTGTCTCGAGTTTGGCCTTGCTTCTGATACTGGCCTTGTACCCTGCAGTATGTATGACGCAATGATGAGGATCCTGTGCCCCTTTTCTAACAAGATTGAGACGCGTGCCGAATGCCAGTGTGCGTCAAGGCTGAGCCTTAGTTTCTGCCTGGTTCAGCTTGAACAAGATGGCGTAGTTTAAGAAGCGCTGTTCAGGCGATGCAATGTGACAAGGGCAGGATTGCAACAGTCTGCGGATGGAGAAAGCCCTCAATCAACGGATCACCTTGCATTCCCATGGTCCGGCTTCGCAACAGACAAGGCGACTTGTTTTCCTCTTTTTTTTTGTGGCAATCCTGTTTCTCCATAAGCTTGATGATCCTGATGAGGATTGCTGCTTGGTGGGTGAGTGCTGGCTATTGCATACAAACACTGATGACCAGCTCCGAGCAACTTATTCCTGGCATTTGGCCGACTTTTGAAGATTGGGATTTGCTCTTTGCTGGTTTCTTTGGGGTCAGCCTTCTTTTGAAGATCCCATCAAGAGTCTTTTGATCCATTCCCACTCAACTAGGTCCATTTTTTTTGACAGTAGGCGAGTTTTCTTAAACCTTTGTGGTGAAACAATGGGCCCACTTGAAGGACTGAAAAAGTCTCCAACGGTTGCACCCATATCAAAACCGGCACCTTTGCCACTAGTTGAAGGAAGTCATTCTCCAGAAATGTCCATTTGCTTGTGAACCAAGGAGCCAAGGAGTAGCCACAAAAGTTATGTCTTGCCTTTGTAGTGACACCTGATGGAGCAAGAATTTGTCCGCATTCTGGCCACAGCCCTTTGCTGCAGGACGGGTCACGCAGCGCACAGGGCTCAGAGCAAGTCCCAAGATCCGTGCGGGGTTGCCCCTTGCCGTTAGCTTTATTCAGTGGGAATCCTGCGAACGCATTTTCCAGGGGGGGTTTTCCCTTCCTTGACCTCATGTTCCTTGACCTTTCCTGTTTGCTTTCGCAGAAGCCTACTCAGCTGCCTGGCGCCTTTGAGTTTTAAGGGGCTTGCAAAGTCAACCAACTAAGACGGGGCAGATGGCCACAGGGCTAGTAAATTCATTTGATCCCTGTCAGGATTCTGGAAGTGGCAGATCCGAGTAACCCAGATAGTTGCTAGTGGGACAGGCGCAAGAATGAGTCTGCAACGCCATGGTTCAGAATGTGAGCATCCCAACTGAAAAGTTGAGGAAAGAATGAACTGCACATGACTTGATGTGGATTCACAGAGCGCCACTTTCTTCTTAGATTGAAAGTAGTCTGGGCTGCAAATACAGCTGTACTTCCTGATGACCTGTTCCCGAGTATCGCCAGGTGATATACGTTCCTTCAATGCTTTTGTGGTGATGTGGTGATGGGTGTATTCCTTGTTGGAGTTGGATCCGTTCCTTTTCAGGAAGGATTGGGCTTTCAATCAATTACATTTGAAGGCGACGGCCATCCCGGCACGGCTTACAGACTTTGACAGCAAGAGACCTACTCAAGTGGGCTCCCAAACAAAAGAGAATATAGAAGGACGTTGTGCGCGGGGGAGGGCCAGGGCAAGTGCCTAGCTCTGCCTTCGTACTTCTTGCGAGGCGAAGCCAAGCATCGCGCGTGTCAAGGGCCGGAGCCTTGAGTTTGGGTGGGTCAGTCAGGGCGTCGAGGCAGCTGAGGTCCGGATACTTGGTAGTGCTTTAGCTTTGAAAGTGATAAATCCGTGCTTCAATACGCCTGCCTTGATACTTGTGCCGCAAGAAAGACCAAGGCATCCAAGGCATTGAAGCGCCTCCGATGTTTGTTCTGTTGATGCATTTGTACATGTCATGCTGCTCCCTGGGGTATTGGAACCTGAAGCTCGCCGCGAAGTTGTTCGGCAAGGCGGGCCCGCCATCCCAAGCCCTAAGGTCATGCGCTCATTTGTCCACTGCTTGCTACGCGCTAGTCACAGAATGCCTTGCCCACGGAGCATTGGTTGGGGCGCCCATGTTTTTTTTTTTTTTAACTTTCCATGGGTCAAGAGTCTCAGAGAGCCTTCGACGCAGGGGTCTGTCAAAAACAGTCATGGACAAAAGTATCGTTTTCGATCTGGTGTTTTCTTGACTTGCCCGCAGCACTCAAAACCAAGCCGGCGGATGGCAGAAGCCTCTCTCGGCCTTGAGCTAGCTTGCAGGCGCACAGCTTGAGTCACAGCCTTAGAATACAATGCCAGATCCATTCAGAATCACCTCGGCAAATAACAACACAAGGATCGTCAACAGCATTTGGATGATGGACGCAAGCAACTTAGCATGGAACAGCTAAACTTGCCCCAGATCAACTCGTGGGACACGCTTTGGGACTTTGGAACGATGCGTTTCTCGGTGTTTCTGGCGCGGCTCCTCTGCCTTTGCTGCGCAACGGATGAGCCGGTCATTGGATGCTTGCCTTAAAGGGACACTAAATCTGGAGTCAGAAAGCCAGGCCTGATGTCTTCTGATGGGTCGTTTTTAGGGGGTCCAAATGGCGTCGGGTTTACTTTTCTTTTGGTTTCCCTCTACCACCAAAAAAGGGGTGCCGAGCCTCAAAAACAGAACGCGCCACCCTGACATTGCGTTTGATGGCTCCAGGATCCATTTAGGTTTTTGACACGGGAGTCAAAAGGCACGCCATTCAGCCAACAACACCGAACTCTCGGTGCAGAATCATCCCGCAAGACCATCAGTCTCAAGGAATTGTGGGGCTCAGAGAGATCACCGGGGATTTGAGGGAAAGAAAGTGAAGACACCAACTTTTGTTGGGTGCTTAATGGTTCATCACCAAGTGGCCACGCGTAAACGTTGCTTGAGCTTCAGCTCAGTTCTCAGCAGTTTGCCATGATATGTTGTTAGTTGGGGGTCAGGATTTTATGGTGCCGGGAACAATATCATGCGAGCCCAGCTTGAGTTTCGTTCTTTGGCGAGACTTGCGACCCTGGGCCATCATATAATCAGAGATGGCATGGACAGATCCGGACTTTTTGAGAGAGAGAGAGAGAGAGAGACGAGTTTGTAGTGGCAAGAGCCTCATCCAGTGCAATTGGGTGTTTCGGCGGGTTGGGACGATCAAGAGCAGCCAGCTTGTTTCTGCCCAGGCTAACCGAGGGTGAACGAGACTGTTCAATCATGGAACTACAACCACTCGATTGTGAACGTACAATGTTTGCCCTTTTTGCAGGGGTCAATCTGACTTGGCAAATCATAGTGACCTTCAGACCGAACTCATGCATCCGATCGCCAGGAATTCTAACGCTGCCCACCGGCCGATCCTGCATCACCGACTCCGACCTCTCGGAGCTGGGACGAAGCTCTTGCTTCGGCTCCATCTATGTGACTCTGGATGCTCTCGTATCGAAGTGCACTCGAAGGAGAGCCCAAATCAACACCAGGAAAGGTTGGTGCAGGGCACCTTCCCAAGTAGAGGCGGCCGCTCTTTGGATTTCTTACATGGTTCTGGATAGATTCCTTTGATACCAGGTTGTGGTTGCGACTCATGCGGGGAACGCGTTGTTTTAAACGTGTGGGTCATTTGTAGGGTCCCCTTGAAGGTTTCCCTTATGCTTCACAATTCGAGCTCACGAAGATGCGTCCCCAACAAGGCTATTCCCACGCGGTACGCTTCACAGAGGGCTTGGTCCGCTGTGCATGGCTGCGGAAAATTGTTCTTTTGGGCCACTTTCCCGGGCCCAGGTGAAATACGTGGAGAGCGGGGCACAGGCGGTGCCCATTCTCTACGACTGGAGCGACCAAGAGCTGACCCAGGCTTGCCAAAAAAATGGAACCTACAGGTGCCAGTGACGCGTTTGTTCAGTTCGAAGGAATTAAGCAAGGAAGCAACATGGATGCAGAGAAGACCAACAAGACTCCGCTAGGCAACAACCTCTTGCAAGATCCCAGTGGCCAAGAACCCAAATCTGCTCTGAAACCACCCGCACATTTGTTTGTTTGCACGCGAGAGGTGCGCAGCGTGGCAGGCACCAGCAAGCTGTTGGTTTTCACCGACATTCGCCGTGGGGTTTGAGGGGTTGCATATGGTCAAAACCGTCCAGCAGTCTATGGTCCAGTCAAGACGGGTTCCTGAACGAGCCTGATTGTTGACGGGGCCACTTTGAAAGTCACCCAACTACGAGTAGACGTAGAGGATCACCTTTGCAGCAGACGAATTTGGAATGTTTAATGTTTCATTCCGGGAATCTTGCAACCTCAGCTAGGCTTCTCGTGAGAGATTCGGTGAGTCAAGTTTGAGAAACCACCGCTCCAAATGCAAGACAATGCAAGCGGAGCCCATTTCTGTTCTTGGACAGCTAGAACTTCGCCCATTTGTGGGATTTTTAATTTGCTGCCGCATTTTCAGAAGCTTCATTGGCTTGGGGTGCCTTTGTAGGCCTTGGGAAGAATGGGCCTAACAAGTGCAGTCTTTTCGGGTCGCTCTTCTGTTGGCCCTTGTTTCATGGGCCCTCGGATAAGGCTAGCCTGGCGGATACGGCCATGGCGCAGGCTTAGGGGCCAAGGCCATGAACCGTCATGAACCCCCTTCCCAAGGCTCTTTGCTCGCCTGGCTGAGGCTGAGTCCCCAAATGTTTCCTCTCAAGGACCTTGGCTTTGGCTATGGCCCACTTCTCCAATGGCCGGAGGCCTTCCACTCGGTGAACGGCGTGCTCTTGACTGGCGGGGATCTGGACATTGCTGATGCCTCCCCTGAAGCTGCCCAGCCGGGGCTCCCGGGAACAAAGTTTCAAAAGGCGAGAGGAAAAATCAGGACACCCAAGGGGGGGGGCCAAGCACTTTCTGTCCTTGGCACTTGCAGGGGCTTGTGGGCAGATGCAGCAGCCTTCAGTCAGCCACCGGTGAGCCGATGGCAAAACCGTGGGTTTCATTTCATCCATGGCAACTTCACAAGAAAAGCGCCGTCCCCGCGGTTTTTTCCGAGATGCGCTACCATTCCACCTCAAAGGAACGCGGTGACTTCCAAGCGCACGATGCGGTTGGCTAGGTACATGCACGCAGCCTCTCTGCTGCTGCAGCTGACGGTGAACAGCAGCCAGGCCGGGGATCTTGTGCCGCTATGGGGCACCTGCTTGGGCTTGCAGACCCTGGCTGTGGCGCAAGCAGGCCGGAATCGGGGCCGGGATTGGAGAGGTGAGTCAGGTGCGCTTGGATGGGGGTGTGCCAAGTTTGGAAGCCCCATTCCCAGTCATTGGGCCCATTGGGCGATCGATTTTTTGCTTACTCCCAAGCCAGAATCAAAACCTGGGCAGAGCAAGGCCTAGTTTTGGGCAGACCCCTGTGATACCAGGTTTTGATTGTGGTTCGCAATTCACACCAGCAAGCATTGCATTTTCTGGCCAGCAGTGACCGTCGGCGCCACCTGAGCCAACCTGCACTGATGACCGAGAGGTCTACAGGTGGGGACCCTGGCAGGGGTTTCCATGGAAGCGGAGCTGCAAGCCGAGGAATGTCATTTTTTGAGCAAGTCCAAACCTCCAGGGGGTGTCTATTACTTGGATGGTGGAGCCACATGGGCTTAGTTTGTGTTGCTTTGTATACAGGCGTTTTATAAGGATGTAGGCGGGAGCCTTGACGAAATCATACCGCTTAAATGAACCTTTATGGCCCTTGATAGCATGTATCGGGGAAGCAACCACGAAATGTTCAGGCACCATCAAGCTTAGAGCAGTTGAGAAAACAGCGAGTCAGTTGTTTTGTTCAACGTGGACACTCACTTGCTGTTCCAGTCTGGATTTGATGACTCAACTTCCCCCGGCGGACCAATTGACTTGGACTGGGATGCGTGGAGCAGGGATCCGAATCGCCTGAGATGCGCCAGACTTGCCGCGTCGGTCATGGTCCAAACCTAAGCATCATACGGGGCCTGTATGCATCCCTTGTTGGTATCTTCCAATCCAAGAGGTCGGTCTAGGACCTCACTTGCACCTTTCTGGCTCCCTCCATCTTTTGGCGGAAAACCGGATGGCTCCTGTCGGTAAAAATAAGATGCTGCCACCTACGGACCTGGAAGTGGAAAAGAGTCCTTCTTGGTCAATGCCATTTCTTGCAGATGCCTTCAGTTTGTTGATGAAAGGATAGAAGTCAAGCCCTGCTGGAACTTCGTTCAGATGGACAGCACCAAAAGGATGTAAGCTCCGAAGGCTTCCTTGCAAACAGAGGAACCCGGAGCCTGCAATATCCTTTTCCTTTTTTTTGTTTTACTCCGATGAAACTTCTCGGGACTTTCCATTCGACAAACTTCCTTTGACAATCCCAAAATCTCAAATCTGAACATCTAGGATAAAACAAAGCCCCTTCTAGCTAACCCCCCCCCCAAAAAAAACATATATATATATATATACACATACATAGAGTACTTGGACCCATTGGGTGGCCTGCCACTCGCTCGGCCGTCAGGCAACAGCTCCGTCCTGGAGACCTTCAAGTTCGACACCAAGGCCCGAGATCGGCGGCTCAAATTTGGAATAGGGCAGAACTTAGGGGAAGTGTCGTGGGGTTCTGCTTCATTCTGCTTCCAGAGACCCTAATATCAACCGACTTGGGTCCAGACTTAGCAGATGTTGCTTCCACCCAGCAATTTCCACCAAGGCTCTTCCCCCAAGCATGTTGTTTTCCCACCTCAAATTTGAGATGATTTCGAGCCACCTGTTGAAAAGTCGCGGGGTTGTTGCTTTGCCCTCAAACACCTCGGAATGGTTCACTGCAGAAAGCGAGCGGTCACCTTAGAAAGAGCCCACATCATGACATGGTCAGCGTTGCGCGGTGCTCATGACCCCTCCTCCGTTTGACATGGGAGCAGGGGCAATTGGGTGTGACCCCTGGAATTTCATGTCTGGTCCTCCCTCCCATTGACAAAGATCTCCCGACACATGTAAGTGAGCAGCTGCAACACACTGCTAAACTGCACGACCTTGATTCGAAGCCTGCAAAAGCTTCGGTGATTCATTTGCAGGAATCGGGAAGAGGGGGCAAGTGGCCCCCCTTCGCTCAGGGAACATGCGATGACATCCCTGGACCTGGGCTTATCTCAAATACAGTGCCACCGGGTCAAAGCTTACGGGCTACCTACCCCTTTCCTTCTCTCTCTGTCTCACACAGCTTTTCGCAGCAAGATTTCGTTTTGTGTTTTGTCATATCCCTTAAACAGTCATCCGTGGGTCTTCATCGTTGGGTCTTAGCCATAAGGGTACTGTTTCAGTACCAAAGAGGTTCGTTTCATGGGACTCGTCTCACCGCGCCCTGTTCAGGACTACTCGCTGCCTGTTGAGCCCGCCGCGGCCGCTTGGACCTCGCGCCTGCTGCGCCAACTGCCCGCAGACCTGCGCAGGGCGCTGATCCAAGCTCCTCGGCGGGGAGCCTGGCTTCGCATCCACGTTATCTATGGAACTCGCCAGATCCCAAGGTCTTTGAAAAAAAAACAATCTTGAAAGGATCCGCGGCAGGTTTCATCCACGGGGGAACATCGCCTATTTTTCCTGAAGCAGATTCAGATGAATTGTTTTTTGGATCTGATCGGGGTAGTTTTCTTGGCTGAACGGGAATGTGTACCAAAGCAGTCAACCAAACCGCTTGTCCAAGCAGAACACACCATGACTCGCTGGGTTGTTGGTACCTGGGATAAAGCCCTGGCATTATTGGCACGGGCGCATGAACACGCCCACTGGCCAATCGTGAGAGCATGGCTCTCTCGCGACACCTCTCTTTTCTTTGGTGTTCCGTCCAAGGAAGCACAGGATTGCTTCCGAAAGACTTGAGAAGGCAATTTGAGCTCACCAGCATTGTGGGGATTTCTCCATAAAGAGGCATTTGGGGGGAGCAATGCAGCCCAATCCTGTTGCCCAATCCGGTCCACCCAAAATTGGCGACTCTTCATAGGACTCCTTCCTAGGCAACACGAAATGACATCAGCTTCCACAAGGGGCAATTTTTGACTTGCTTGTGCCTGGAAAAATGTCCGCCAAGCTGTCAGACCGGGCTTGGTGATCAGTGCAAGCCGTTGGTTCTCCATTTTGGTAAACTCCATGGAAGCGGGGTGAGCAATACTATATATATATATGAGCATCCGACAAAATCTTCGGTAGTATTCAGTAGTATGCGGGCCGCCGTGGGGTCACCCAAAGCAGCCAAGGACTGCAAAACCGATAGGGGCCCACCCAAAACCGATACCCCTGATTGTTTGAAAGGGTTAACATACACATAATACACATAATGTTGAAGGACGATAAATTTTGAGGCTGCAGTGACTTTGCAGCAGCTGGCCCGAGATTTGTACTTTGCAGCAGCTGGCTCGAGTTGAAGTACATTGCATTGAACATAGGTTCCCATTGCGTTTCCTTTGTGCTAGCAGCCCCTCATGTTTGTGAACTCTCAACAAAGACTTCTCTTAAACCCGCAAACGTCTGCCCGCCCGACCGATACCCCCGCCCGATACGCCGACCGATACACCTTTCTTTACGAAACCTGCGCTGCGTGAGAAGCAGCCCTTTCGAGCCATGGGCGTGTACTCGAAGATGGAGCTTGTACTAGACTTGTACTACAAAGTTGCGATTTTCGAGCTGGAGCTGCGGAAGTGTACTTCGCGTACTAGACTTGTACTACAAAGTTGCGATTTTCGAGCTGGAGCTGCGGAAGTGTACTTCGCGTACTAGACTTGTACTACAAAGTTGCGATTTTCGAGCTGGAGATGCGGAAGTGTACTTCGCGTACTAGACTTGTACTACAAAGTTGCGATTTTCGAGCTGGAGATGCGGAAGTGTACTTCGCGTACTAGACTTGTACTACAAAGTTGCGATTTTCGAGCTGGAGCTGCGGAAGTGTACTTCGCGTACTCCGGAAGTGTACTTCGCGTACTAGACTTGTACTACAAAGTTGCGATTTTCGAGCTGGAGATGCGGAAGTGTACTTCGCGTACTAGACTTGTACTACAAAGTTGCGATTTTCGAGCTGGAGCTGCGGAAGTGTACTTCGCGTACTAGACTTGTACTACAAAGTTGCGATTTTCGAGCTGGAGCTGCGGAAGTGTACTTCGCGTACTAGACTTGTACTACAAAGTTGCGATTTTCGAGCTGGAGCTGCGGAAGTGTACTTCGCGTACTAGACTTGTACTACAAAGTTGCGATTTTCGAGCTGGAGATGCGGAAGTGTACTTCGCGTACTAGACTTGTACTACAAAGTTGCGATTTTCGAGCTGGAGCTGCGGAAGTGTACTTCGCGTACTAGACTTGTACTACAAAGTTGCGATTTTCGAGCTGGAGCTGCGGAAGTGTACTTCGCGTACTAGACTTGTACTACCAAGTTGCGATTTTCGAGCTGGACCTTCAAACGCTGCATAACCGATAGGGGCCCACCCAAATTATCAATGGCATTCAAGTTATCAAGAGATTTCGTCCGCAACTCAAATATATATATATATATATATATATATATATATTATGAAACACAAACCAGAATTGCCGTAGACGGATTGCGTGTTGGCCATATGTCCACTCCTTTTGACCGTTTAGAGCACAATCCCTAGCGGTTTTTTGTGGCAAGGGAGGCTGAGAGGGGATGACAAGATGACACAAAGGGTTTGTCTATGGTTTGCCAGCGCTCGTGGTTCCTTGAACAGTTCAGGAGGCCCTGCCAAGAAAGTCGTGGTACTTTTTAGCGAGGTCATATCTGGCCACACTGACCACACAAATCCGTCAGGAGGTCCGGCTCCCAACTCGAAATGTTGCGGCGTTTGCGCCTCCTGAGGAAAACATCACCTATAACTACCACCACGACGGGGTGTCCCCAGAAGCCTTCCAGAAGAACCAGCGGCTGGCAGAGATGTTTTCAGTGCTGGCGACCAACAAGGACAGACGCTTGGAAGCAAAGCCAGAGCACTGCCCAAAACCCATGTAACGTGATTAGGGAACAGTGGCTCATGTTAGGACCCGCTGTGCGTACTTGGTGGAGGGATTCCTCATGCCGCTTCCCTGGATTTCCCTGCCTTTGCATAAGACACCAACAAGAAAAGTGCGCTGGGTGTCGCAGTGTGGTGCCTTGACCTTGGCTATATTTCTATAGATTCGCCTTGCTTGTGTTTCTCAGCCGAGCCAAACAGAGACCGTGCAACAACAGGCGACAGAAATGTGCACAGACAAGGCAAAACCCACAAGCCTCACAATCCACATGGGTGTTATTAGAGTTGCAGGACAGTTGGACTTGCATAGGCGAGGCATGTCGGTGAAATTTCCAGTTCACAGGGCTGTCATTCCTTCGCGTTTATTTGACACCGGCCTCTAGCTATACTATACTAGTGACAATGGTGACAACATGTTTGTGTGTAGCTTCCGAGTTGCAGATGTTTGACATCATGGTAGGGTCTGGCGTTAAACAATGGTTTGTGAGCGCAGTAGGAAGGATGCAGCACATGTAGTGGTGCAGGCAGCAGTCTTAGTGGTGCAGGCAGCAGTCTTCAAACGCTTGGTTTCTGGCTTTGTCATGCGTCACAACAAGTATGCGTGCAACGACTTGGTTCCGAACGTTGGGAGGCACGTTGTTTGTTGCAGACACCCCTCTAGGGCGAAGGTCGTGTACCCAGAGGGTCCACCTCCAGGGTTGAAACCATACCCCCCTTCTGAATTTTATGCCACCTATGCGAAGAAAAAACAAAAAAGTTTGGAGCCATTGAATTCCAGCCGGCGGCAGAAGCAGAACATATATTCCGAGAGGAGTGCAGGCGCTCATGGAACCCAGGATGGCATAGCAGCCAGAAAACCTGCTATTCGATTCACCTTATGTTGATTGTCTGCTAAACGTGTTTGAGCGTGTTTGCTTTCTTGTCAACTCCACGTTTCGAACGAAGACGGCACATGCGTAAATGATGTTGTGCGGGCGGCTCGCGCGCCATTGAACTCGCTAACACCTACCTGAACGATTCCAACAGCACACATTTGCATTTACGTTGAAGCAACCTGAACATGTTACGTGCATGGAGCAGGGCTCCTTAAAAGATACATTTTGCCCATTTGAAACATGGCCTTTTCCACCAAAATACAGGGACACCACCGTTTACAAGGCAATGTTCAGGTGTATAATGTAAGGATCCCTGTCTGGAGCCTTCAGTTTTGTCCCATACGCTTTTCCTGTAGGGTCCATTCGCCGACTTGGATAAGGACATGGCAGCCGCTTCGTGTCTGCCATCGAGGGCCGACATCATCCCATTTACGCGGTGCAGTTTCACCCGGAGCGTTCGCTGCTACTCGGCAAGATGCTCTGAGACTGGATGTGAAGCCTCTAAGGGTTCTGGAAAGAGGAGAGCCCTGCTTCTGCCATCGTATGCCTTGGTCTAGATGAAACAACTATACTCACAATCTCTTGTGACGAAACAAATACTCACAAGAGACTGTGAACACTTTTGCACATTACTTGGGTAAATTACAGCCACCTCCGCACGACTTTGGTTGGTGGTTTTCCGCATGATAACGCTTCCTTTCTTAGTGCATTATTGCAGTTATGGTTCGGATTCATCCACAGTCACACGCAGCTTAAAATTTTCAGTTTCACTTCCCCACCTCGAACCTGCTATCCTAATGAGAGTCCTTCTTGATGAGCAAACAACTGTCAAGACTTCGTTCAGTAAATCCAGCTCAAGAAGGGCCAATTATTTTCCGTTATTTTGGTTTGATTCCCCATTTTGTTCAACTATCGTTCTTTTCAAAATCCAGCTATTTCCACATGATGGGGAACCTAGAAGTATAGCCGTCCAGTACCAGCTAGTGTCAGAGGCTTCTGCACAAAAAAGAATTCCCAGGGTTCAGCCGGAACAAGCACCATCCGCTCCTGTCCCACACTTCTCTAGCGTTTGTAGGCAGGCGTATCTTGCAACAATTGTGGACATCCTTCAAAGGTTGCAAGATCGGGTTGCCAAGCATACTGTGGACCATTAAAGTGGCCATCAAAAAGGAACGAAAGTTGTTCCAACTCACCAATTTGGGGCACCGCCCAAGCAGTAGTTTCAAACAGATTGCAAAGGAAGTCCAGGATACAGTCAAAGTGAAGGTACTACTGGGACGCCGACGAGCAGGGGATCAACCATTCTCAGCACGCCGTCGAGGTGGGAGGGTTGGTTTTGTGCCCCAGGGCCTGATGCGATTTGCTGGATTTTTGTTTGTGTTCGATTGGTTTAATTAATTATATTCCCGAAAGCATGGCGAAGGGTTCTTCCGCTGGGTTCACTTGAGTTGTTCTCATGAGAGTCATTGCAAGGAGTCATTGCAAGGAATCATCATCACGAAAGTCATTGCAAGGTGTCATCATTGCAAGGAATCATCATCATGAAAGTCATTGCAAGGAGTCATTGCAAGGAGTCATTGCAAGGAGTCATTGCAAGGAGTCATGAGAGTCATTACAATTTGCAAGGAGCCAAGCGCATGGAGTCAAGTGCAAGTTGCAAGTGCACGGAGTTAAGTGCAAGTTGCAAGTGCAAGGAGTCAAGTGCAAGTGCGTGGAGTCAAGTGCAACTTGCAAGTGCATGGAGTCAAGTGCAAGTTGCAAGTGCAAGGAGTCAAGTGCAAGTTGCAAGTGCAAGGAGTCAAGTGACTTGCGAGGAGTTAAAATCTCTTCTTAGGGCGGCGGGGTAGTGCCGACGACACTCTACGAAAATCGACCCTCTGCGGGGATTGGTGCAAAAACTCAAGGTTTTTTGCGATTTTGTTTTGGCTCGCGCGACCCTTTGCGAGAATCGGCGCGGTCGAGGTACAAAAACTCGAGGTTTGTGCGATTTTGTTTTGGCCAGCGCGACCCTCTGCGGGGATCGGCATGGTCGAGGTGCAACAACTCGAGGTTTTTTGCGATTTTGTTTGGGCCCGCGCGAATCTGTGCGGGGATCGGCGTGGTCGACTTGCAAAAACTCGAGGTTTTTTGCGATTTTGTTTTGGCTCGCGCGAGCCTCTGCGGGGATCGGAGGTGCAAAAGCTCGAGGTTTTTTGCAATTTTGTTTTGGCTCGCGCGACTCTGCGGGATCGTCGTGGTCGAGGTGCACAATCTCGAGGTCTTTTGCGACTTTTGTTGTTCGAGCTGGTCCTCGGGAGTTGTCTCGTGGTTCGCGCGCCTGCTCCCGGCGGGTCGCGCGTTCGATTCCCCCCTGGTTCGCGGGCGGGCTTCGCAAGCTGCACGGAGCAACTTGCATAAAGCAACTTGCGCAGAGCAACTTGCGCAGAGCAAGTTGCACAGACCAGCTTGCGCAGAGCAACTTGCACAGACCAGTTTGCGCAGAGCGCCTTGCCTAGAGCAACTTGTGCAGAGCAACTTACGCAGAGCAACTTGCACAGAGCAACTTGCACAGAGCAGCTTGCACAGAGCAACTTGCGCAAAGACATTTGCACAGAACAACTTGCACAGAGCTTCTTGCACAGAGCAGCTTGCACAAAGCAACTTGCACAGAGCAACTTGCACAGAGCAGCTTGCGCAGAGCAACTTGCACAGAGCTTCTTGCACAGAGCAGCTTGCGCAAAGCAACTTGCACAGAGCAACTTGCGCACAGCAGCTTGCGCAGAGCAACTTGCGCAGCGCAACTTGCACAGAACAACTTGCACAGAGCAACTTGTACAGAGACATTTGCACGGAGCAACTTGCCCGGAGCAACTTGCGCAGAGCAACTTGTACAGACCAGTTTGCGCAAAGCACCTTGCCCAGAGCAACTTGCGCAGAATGGTCACGGGGCTGTGATGCTTTCGGGCCAACCGTGGTCTAGTTTTGTTTGTTGTCTTGGAATCAAACGATTCCGGCCAGTGGAAATTGGAGCGAGCAACCTGCCACAATGTATACTGTAAGTGTCACTAGGCCCCCCCAAGGGATGTATATTCTAAACAAGGGATTCATGGTGGCAGGCTAAATGACTACCATCCATCAAGCTGTGCTCGTTCATACCCCTTTTTCGTGGACGTGCGCGGACCTCTTGCCACAAGGAAAGCTCAAAGCGATGCTGCTGTCTTCCGCCAACGTCCAAAGTAGCATAGCCTTTGTGTGACTTCAACATAGGTACAGGTATTGTGTCACCCTGTGAATGATAGCTTCTTGGCCCCACTAGCAGCATATATATATATATTTATATATATATATATATATACGTATGTCCACACGTATACGTGTTTGTGCATAGTATGTTTCTTGCAGTGCGCATGCACTTGCAGTTTAAATTTGTTGTTCAGCTTTGCTGTAGACGTCAACAGCCACTTTCAAATGATTGCAACCGCCCTCTTCTCGACGAGCCAGCTGAGAATCGTTTGAGAAGACTCATTTCCGGCTTTGTTGGATCATGCCTTTCCCCCAAAAAACTGGAAAACTGTGAGTGGGAGATGGATTGTGACTAAATATGCGGAGTTTTGGGTGTGACAACATGTGGATTTCCTCATGCTGCCAGTCAACCTGCCCCAAAATACTGCACTTGCAGAATTGGGCGCATGTGTGAGAAAGATTCGTTCTGGATCCTCTATGGGGTTGACCACAGATGCGTGTGTCGCTGTTCCTCTGTGCGGTTGCTTCAAAGAGACACCACTAGGACGCCATGCATGTTTCGGGAAGCGAACCATTGCAACTTCATGTTGCCATTTACAACACAACCCGCCTAAAGAATCGTACATACAATGCATTGCATTGCATTACGCTACATTGCATATGTTGCATGCGTTGCATACATTACATACATTACCTTACCTTACCTTACTTTACGTTGCGTTATATCATGTTTTTTTTGCATTACATTACATTACACTACATTACCTTACACTACATTACATTACCACATTGCATTTCATTACATTGCATCACTTTGCATACACACACACACATACATACCTGCCTACCTATACATATATAGCATGCATGCATACACATGTATATATGCAAATATATACAGCGGGATAGTTTTATTGCTGGTATCTGACCAATGGCCCTTGGCAGGTGATGCGCTACTTCGCCGACTTCTTCATCTCCGAGGCCCGGAAGAACTCGCACCGCTTCACTTCCAAGGCGGCGGAGCGCAAGGCGCGGCCGAAAATGCCTGCGGCCCTCTGAAGGGAACCGCGGTAATCTTTCCGGAGAATTTAACTTCTTCAGGATGTCGAATCAAAATTTGGTTGCTCTGTGGCTTGGGCTATAGGTAAACCTTCAGACTTTGTGGAGAATGACGGTTTTCCAGAACAAGAAGCCACATTGTTGCAGGCCAAAGACCTCTGAAAATGCAAGGGCTGCCCGTTTTTCACAACTGAAAGGCCGAATCAGTGCCTCCAGGTAGGGCTTGCCATCCTGGCCCGACCCCAGGCGTTGATCTACAACTATGCGCCACTTGGGCGCAGCAGCTACCAGGCGCGCGTCGGGCGGGTCCCAAAGGGGTTGCCTTATGGGGGAAGCCAAACTCGACATTGGAAAAGTAGGCAGGAGACGCGGCCGCCCAGTATATATCTTCCGGGGGACAAGGGCCCAAGAACCCTGGTTTGGGTTTCGAGGCAGCGCTTGCTGTCTATTAGTAGTCTTTTTGTCAACCCAAGCCCCCTTCAGGCCAACCCCCCCTCCCATCCAGAAAGCAGTTTGGATGCGTTTTTCCTGGATTTTACCCGGTTTTCCTTTTGTTGGTCTGTCGTTAGTGGTCTGGTAGTACTCTTTTAATATCCACAGGGGTGGATCCACAAAAGCCACATCCAAACCGTTTCTAGATCCCAGGGAACCATCCCCTAAGCCTTACTCTGACAGGATCGATCCCCTGGTTGTGATCCCCTGCAAGAGGCCTGCTTTCCATGTTCCTCCAACTGCCTCCCCCACAGGTCATCTCACTGGTGCTCACCCGCAAGTAAAACAAGCTGCCCAATGAAAAAGGCTCATTTCATGACAGGTTCTTCAATCTCAATCCTGGACATGCTTGCTTGCTTGCTTGTTTGTTTGTTTGCTTGCTTGTTTGTTTGTTTTCTTGTTTGTTTGTTTGTTTGGTTGGTTGGTTGGTTTGTGTTTGGTTGGGGCTGGGGTTGGGGTTGGGGTTGGGGTTGGGGTTGGGGTTGGGGTTGGGGTTGGGGTTGGGGTTGGGGTTGGGGTTGGTGCGGTTGTGGCGTGGCGTGGCGTGGCGTGGCGTGGCGTGGCGTGGCGTGGCGTGGCGTGGCGTGGCGCAGCGTAGTGTGGTGTGGCGTGGCGTGGTGTGGCGTGGCGGGTTTGGTTGGTTGGTTGGTTGGTTGGGTGGTTGGGTGGTTGGTTGGCTGGCTGGCTGGTTGGTTGGTTGGTTGGTTGGTTGGTTGGTCGGTTCCTTTCATGGGTTGTCTACACATAAGTTTAACCATACCATGTGAATCAAGCCAATGTGAGTCTATTGGTTTAGGTAGACAATTGCCAGGGTTTGCTTATTGGATTTTTAAGTGCTATCAAAGAACCGTGGAAGGCTTGAAGAAGTGCTTTTGAGCTCGCAGTCCTACGTCTTCCCTGCGGCCTCCGAGATGGATTGGAGAACCAGCTGGCCACGAGACGCGCCTTAACAGCAACCCCAGATTGTGCTGTCGGAGACATCAAACCGCAAGTAACACTGTGTCTTTCAACATACCAAACAAACATACGCGTTTTGCACAAAGGGCATCCAAAGCAAAGCCAGTTTTGGTGCGACATTTTGTTTGAGCTCCGACCCACTCCGTTTAGGGTGCAAGTGCGGAGCAGCATCGCTTAGCCATGTTTGAGCTTGAGGTGGAATCTAAGGAGCACTTTCTTTTTTGGACAGCTGCCGATTGTTGGATAGGCCGGGTAACATAGCTTGTTGCCACTTCAACATTCGTCTCAGAACCCTCGCTGCGTGTGTTCCAAGCGTCGGTAACTATCGATGATGGCTTTTGAACAGTGCACCTTCTGCTTTTGTGCATTTTGACTTCACCTTGGTATGGGAGAGGGATCACAAACCAACTGACATGTGGCCGCGTTTGTTGGCCTAGGTGTGCGCCTTCAGACATGCTTTGCTTCGCATTTTGTAATCATGCGCCGCATCTTTGAGAGACAAATCAGCCGAGAATCCATCACAGCCCAACTGAGCATCTTTGAGATCCCGGGACCTTTTGCTACAAGAAGCATGCTCACATCTTACTCAAGCGAGTGCAGCTGTTAACATCTGCCAGAACTACTGGAAGAGTACAACTGGTTAGGTCATGGAGCGGTACCCAAGATCGATGGTCAGGGGACATTCGGAGCCCCCGACCCCCTACATCCAGTTTCAGGACCTTCTTAAGAAGCTTCAAGGACCCGGGGAGAAGGGGTCCTTGGTTCTTAAGCTAAATGACTTGCCACAGCGAAGGCCAGCGAGACGATGCTGGTCTGACTTGCGGGCCGGGAAAAAGCTGGGCTCGCCACGGAGAGATTTTGGGCGGAGGTCGCTGCGCTCGGCTCGGCTCTGCCATTGTCAAAGCTCTTCACAAGGGTTATGGTTATCGTTTCCTCAACATGAGTCTTTGGTTGTCCAAAGCACCACCATACTCAAGGGTGGATGAGCAGCCTCATTAACCCCAAGCATCCTCATGATTCATCATGCATGCAGCACAGGTTTGTTTCCACTTGTTGCCAAAAGAGATTCAGTGACAAGGCGAGTCGGGACAGGCTACTTTTGGCAGCTTGCGGTGCAACAGTCCAAGGATGTGTGTATTTCACCGTGGATTGCGGCAGAAGGTTTTTATCTGCAGTAACCAAGAATGGGGTGGAATCCCACCTTGGGATATGAGCCAACCCTTGCATCAGACCTTGGCAGAATCGAGCATCCGCAATCAGTTTGGTGGCCTCTGAAAGCCATGAACAGGCTCACATTTTTGGTTGAGGCTGTCAATCGTACTTCTGGGAGGTCGATGTTATCTGCCGGGTTGGGACACTGTTGGATGTTTCTTTACAGAAGTTAGACTTGAGCGCAAGCCTGGGGCTGCGAGGGGAGTAGCAAAACGCTGGGTACAGAGGGGTTCGGGTTGGCTTGGAATCATATGTTTGGGTTTGGGTGGGGAGTTGGGAGGGGGGGGATTTGGGAGGTTTGGGGGCGGGGTTGGCCACGCCACGTGTTTGGCTCCTGCTGGGACATCCTTCCTACGGCGCCCCCAAACGAAGCCGTGCTTCGCAAGCGGCGCATCAACTGGGGCCTGGGCCAGACGGGTAGAGCGCCGCAGTGGCCTCGGACCATGCTGTCAGGTGGAGGGTTTTTGTGTGCCAAAGTTATCGAGTCCTACAGTTGGCCCAGCTTGAGCCAGGTCAGTCGGGCTTTGCCACAAAAACGCGGCGCTGAGGGTTGAAGTGGACCGCTGGATTGGTAGCGGAGCACGGCGGTCCGGGAGACACCAACCTTGCCGAGATCGCTTGGCGAGGGCACCAGCGCGACGAGGTAGCTTAGCAAAAGAAGAGTTCATGGAGGCTGCGCTGGCCTCCACTTCGGCTTCGAACGGAAAGCCAGAAGGTTTCAGCCCATGGACGCCGAGCGCATCACGCAAAGATAAATGAACCTTGCCTTGCGGAGCGGGCTCCCCACAGTTCAACTCGTTGGACCAGTTGGATTCAGGGGAGGTCAAATCGGATCTGGGCGTGGGAAAGCCTCTGCGACACTGGCAGCGAGATTGGCAGCTACTATTGACGGCCTCAGGAGAGTGCGCCGGCATGCCTTTTAATGGAGGGTAAGCTACAGAGAAGAGCAAGCTACAGAGACAGGAAGGAGCTCACCTTTAACGTGGAGGAGCCTTTCGGAGTTTGCACCCGTGTTGACTGCGCCGCCAAGGGCCAGCAGTGCTGATGCCTTTGCCGGCGCACCCCATCACAAGGTTGATGTCTGAGAGAGGGTTCTCAGGGCTTTTGCTTGGCCACGCCTCGACTGGCCAGCGGCCCTCCTCACCACGCCATTCTCAACCACCATGCCCGGCAGGCTCCACTTCCATAGCCATCGCCGTAGATCTGCTTTCGTCCGAAACAAGATGCCTGGCAGCCGAAGCGAGGAGGAACCTCGCAGAGGGAAGACTGCAGCGGTAAGGGCAGCGCAGGAGCGTGGACAAGCAGCCGCGCAGCAACGGAAAACGCAACACACGAGCACGTGCCCCAAGGGCAAGCTCGAGGGAAAACTGAATTACCAGGACCTGGGGTGAGGCAAGCTTGGCGGCAAGAACTATGGCAAACTGAGGCTGAAAGGCCCCTTGAAAAGCATCGGCAGGGGCAGTGACTTGAAGCGCATGGACACAGCGAGCGTTCGACATGCTGGGGCCGTCCAGTTTTTCATGTTTTCCCCAGGGCGCAAAGCGCAACTGCTCAGGCTTCCTCATCGGGGGTAGTCCAGGCCAATCAATTCATTTAGCCTGAAGTCAGACATGTTTTTTCTTTGTCTGGAGCCAATGTTTTCTTTTTGTGTTTTGCTCGAATGCGGCCCAGGCATGAAGCAGGGCCAGGCAGCTCTGGAATTTGAGCTGGCCACCGGCAAGGCCAGGGCCTTTGAGGCCTAAGTTTGGGAAGATTTGAGTTTGCAAATTGTAGGGGGGTCTTTGGTCGGGAGGGCAGGCCAAGAGCCCTATTTGAGATTTGGAGAGTTTGTCAGGGAGCCGCATGCCAGCATTTGAGATGCTCCTCGCTTCAGGAACCAAAAGAAGCCTGCAGGGAAAATTCAGCTTAGGTTAACAACGGCTCACCAAAGGTGGTCGTGGTTCTGCAGGAAGTCTCCGGCTCCAATGTGTTTTCTTGTTGGGCGGCTTGGGAGAGAGCCAGTTTTGTGTGCAAAACGGAACAAACATGTGAGCCACAAACAAATCTTGGGTAAATGAGGTTAGCAAGGGATAGTCCCAACCATAAGTTTCAAATGCGTGTTCTGGGTAGATCATTCTAATTCCAGAGTTTGCTGACTCAGTGTTTTTTTCCACAAAGCTGAGCTGTGTTGAAATTATTCATGCAAGGTCTCAGGTCAAAGGACTGAAGATCTAGAAACCAAATCACTTGGGCAGTCGCAAGTGATTCGCCTTAGGATCTGACAACTACCAATTGCCAGGGTACCTTTGGGTGGGCGTCCAACGCAGCAGCACCCAGGCGGCCGGCGCAATCCGCACACAGGTGGCACAACGGTGTGCCAAAACGCGTGGGAAGAACGCGCGGAAACTCGAAGGAGTGCAATGTGGGAGGTGCGCACGGATTCCTTGGCGCAGGAGGCACGGCATGCAGGAGGGGCACTGGCAGGAACACACAGAGGAGTAGCGCGCAGAAATCCGCGCAGGAGGTACGCACGAAGCGGCGCGCGAGGGAACTTGTGTGGGCTGTACGTGCCAGAGTCTGGGAGACTGTAGCACACGCGGGTCAAATCTCGAATGCTATTTGGGGTCTACGCTGGCGTATCTTTTCGAGGGTACCCTTTTTGGGGCGGCTTCAAGGGCAGCATAAGGAGCACTAGCCAGTATTGAGGAAACTTTTTTGAGATGCACCCAGTGGCACAAGCAGAGGACGGGTTGACCCTGGACACTCTAAGGCCACAGTGTTTGATATTTGTTTTGGATCCCACCTAGGCCATTAGCTGTAACCCCTTCATCCAGGGTTTGCTTGACATGTGAATTGATATCGCTGTGGATCTCCTTTTGGTGGGGGAGGGAACAAAGATGCAGCACGGTGCAGCGGGGCTGGGTTCCGTGATCCCATGATGCATTTATTCCTCGTTTGCACAACCAGCACTTGCACCTCAGCATACCTAAACTCAGTGGCTAATGTCACGTACCTTTGAGGGTGTATACGACGGCACCCCAATTCTTGGCAAGACATCCCTCTGTTGGCCATATGCCAACTATATTTGGCTATGCATAGCTTCCAGCTTGGAGGCACAAAGGGGTACACCCTCAGAGGTTGCATGTTGGTGGTCCTTGCTACACCTCACGCCGTTTAGAGTAACCAGCCACAGCAGCAACAGGAACCCCCGGTGAGTGACAAGTCTTGTGGACAGCTTCCTTTAGAATTGGCATGGTGTTCAAAGGGAAACCAATACGAACCCACGCACCCTCAGGGGCTTACTCCAAGGGACACATTTAGTGTCTTGCTGATTCCTTTTCTTTGCCTCCAACCTTTCATGAATTGCCTTGCCTGCTTCCCTGCGAGCTTGCTAGCTCGGGTGAGGCGCATCGCCAGTTAGTCCCTGTGGACTGGGTGGTCGGTGCGCTCGCTCCTCAGCGTCAGGGCAGGGCCGGTTGATCACGAACTATTCTAGTGATGGTGAGGGCCTACACAAACCTTGATATTCATTTTGGTAATGTTGGCATTCGAGTAGTAAAGGGTACCGGAATAATAGAAAGTATTTTTCCTTATTCTGGTTCACACCCATTGTTTAAGGGGACCAGAATAATAGAAAGTTTTTTTGGCCAGGGGGAAAATTCCAAAAAAAAACCTCCGCAAAGCAAATTTAATTAAAAAACACCATCCCCCCCAAACAAATCACCCAAAATCCATGTTGACCCATACCAAATGCCAACAAATTCACAAACATGCCCAAACAATCACACCTGAATCTCCATCAAAAACTGGCCTCAACCACGTGTGGCTCCTGAACTCAGCCCTGCAGCAGCTCATTTTTGTCTCAAGCCAATGCCAAAATGCAGGTCTGAAGGCCCCTTCAGCCCTCAAGCTCCTCAACAGTCTCAAGGAAAAGGGCATGCCGAGCCTGCTGAATGTGCATGCCTCTTTGCTCAAAAGGAATTCCCTTAAGAGCATTGAAAGCCTTAAGCAAGCCACTGTAGAACTCAATTGTAGCTTGAGTCCTACTCAATTGCTGAAATGTGGCTTGCTGAACTTCCTTCAACTCCTTCTCCTGCTGAACCTTCTCCTCAGTGTAGCTGTCAATGGTCATCTGAAAGCTCTCAGCATGGCTCAAAATGGCCTGCTCCTGATTCTCAACTTCCTTGTTCTCAAGCTTCCTCCTCTTGCCAGAAGACTCTTCTGAAGGAGCTCGACCAATGTCTGCCTGAAGCTGGGTCTCCTGAACCTCATCCATTGACATTGCTGAAAGCACACTACCTAGCAGAAAAGGTTCTAAACTTGCTTGGGCCTGCTGGTCACTTGGTGAACTTCTGCAAAGCAGCTCATGAGGCAACCTGGCATGAACCTTAACCTGAAGGCATCAGGTGCTCACACTGTTTTCCAGCCAAAAATCCAGCTCAAAGGCAGCTCACATGGACTTGAAGAGCTGCTCAACATCTTGCTGTCCTCCAGGGAGGCCAATGTGTGCTACCAAATGCTCAATGACACTGCAACTCAAAAACAGCACAGTCACCTGCACCTGTCCTCCAACAAAAGCAAGCTTGTGCTCAAGGTTTGCCTTCCTCTGAACAAGGTACCTGAGTGCCTTAAATGCACTGCATGACTGGCAGCCGCTCTGCCATCTGCATCTTGAACATACCTCAGGGGCCCCCAGAAGGCTCTTGATTTGGTGCTTCTCCTCAAGGGTGAGATCCTTCCATGTGACCCTTAAGGAATTGGTCTCAATGAGCTCCTTGGCTTTGGCTGCAGCTGCTGACTCCTTGTTCTTCATGCTGCTCAGCTTCTCCTCAGCAGCTGCCTTAGCAGCCTGAGCCTTCTTCTCCTTATCCTGCCTCTTCTTAATGTCATTCCCCAGCTGGGTCTGAACCTTGCTAAGCTCCTTTGCAAGGCTTGCTGAAACCTGGATAAGGCGACTCTTCCAGTACTGAACCCTTGAGCCAGGCCACAAGGTTATGGTCTCACCTCTCAACTTCCTGGCCTCCACCTCAATGTAATTCAGGACCCACCAGCCACAGTCTGAATTGTCCTGGAAGGCTGAATTCACTCTCAAGGGCTCAAACCCAGCCAGCTGAAGCCACTCTGCCACAAGGGTTGCAGCCTGAATTGCATCCTGGGACTGATGCTGAAGGCTGTCATACCACCTCAACTGGGCTGGGCTGAATCTTTGGTCCACAACCAGCAGAGTCCAATGGCTTGGATTCTCACTGAAGATTGGCACACAAAGAACTGAATGGCGCTCAAGGTGGTTCTTCAGCTTCTGAATCAAAAACTGCTTGTACTCAACATGCACCTGAAGTGCAATGTTGCGGGTCAAAGCTGAATCCACAATTCCAAACTGGTCTGAAGGTATGGCTGCACCTGACTTCTGAAGTGCCCAGCTCAACAGGGACCAGCCCATCTGAATGTGCTGATCCTCAAGCAGAACTGTGTCCTTGTGCACCCCAGCTAAGAGGTCAACCTCACCTAAGCCATCCTCAGGAAGGCAATACAGCTGCTGAAGCATGAGCCTCATCTCCTCCCTACTGAGCTGCCTGAAGGCAGGCCACTGAAAGGTCTTGACCTTCTGAGGCACCTTAAGCTCCACCTCTTCAGGTAAAACCATCAAAATGCCTGAAATTGTCAAAATGTTGTACCTGCCTGAAGAAGGGCTCCAGAAATGAGCTGTGCCATCTTGCCCAAAGGCTAACTTGCCTGCTGCCTCTGAAGTGACTATCACCTCCTTCTTAAGGAAGCCACGAGCTGAGTCCACCTGCTCCTCATCCTGCTCCTCAACCTGCTCCTCAAGTGGAAGTGGCTCCTCAAGTGCTGGCTTCTTGGCCTTCTCAGCCTTCTCAGCCTTCTTCACGTCAGTGATCTTCTCAGCAATCTTGCTGCTCTTGGATGAACTCTTCTTCTTGGCAAGCACTGAAGGCTTTGACTTTGCTGAAGGCTTGTGGGCCTTGGACGTCTTGACCATTGCTGAAAGCTTCAGCTTAGCCTTGGCCTTGGCCTTGGCCTTAGCTTGACCTTTGACTTCTTTCCTCAAGGTCTCCAAAACCTCTCTCCTGCTATGGTTCTGAAGCTTCTGCTGTGTGACCTTCCTGAGCTCATCTCTGGCAAGTTGCCTCAACTTCAGCCTGTGCCTTCTCTGAACCTTTTTCTCCTTCTTCTTCTTCAACTGCTCCTCAAAAGAAGGGTCTGCAAGTCTCTTGTGCAGAGCTCTCCTCAAGGATGGGTGAAGCCTCAGGTTCAGCGAGTTCTCAAGACTGAGCTCAAGCTGCTCTTCAAGTTCACCTTCAATCTCAACCAGCTCAAGGTGTTGGCCCTCATCTGCTGAATCATTTTGCTCATCTTCTTTGCTGTAGTAGTGCCATCTCTGAAGGTCTGCAATCTCTGAGGCGCTGTCTGAAAGAGACCAGTCTGGCTCAATGGGCTTGCCATCAGGACTGAGCCAACTGAATCTGTCCTTGAACCAATCTGATGGGATTATCTTTGTTCCCATCTGAAAGCCTTCTGCTTGAGCCCAGCTGCACTCAGTGACCTTCTGAAGCTTGCCTCCTGAAGGGATGTAGCCCAAGATGCCATTTCTGATGGCTGCCTTAAGAACCCATTCATCCTCAAGGTTCTTCTTGCTCATCTCCTCGTGGGCAAAGACCACAGACTCAAGTATCTCTAAACTGCCAACCTTCCAGGCAGCATCTTGCTGATACTTCTGCTGAAAGTCATGCCTGAGTTGCTGAAGCTTTCCTTTGACAAGTGACTTGAATTGTTTGCTGAAGTCACTGTCTGTAATCTGCAGCTTGCTGGTGCACTTAGCAGCCACTAGAGTGCTGATCTGGTTGGCTAAATGCATGGCCTCAGTTGCTGTTGTTGAAAAAACAGAAGCAAAGCAGTCTCTCTGCCACAAAGAGGCTGGATACTGCTCAGCCTGAGACTCAATGACCCAGCTCAAGATCAGTGAGTCTACATTTGCAGCTGGCTGAGACATTACCTCAATCCTCTCAAAGAGTTCAGGCCTGTCCTTCCTCAACTGCCTCCAGCTCTCAAGAATTCTGCCAACTGACCTTCCTTGGCCATGAACAAAAGTCTTGGAGCCAACCTGAAACTCTTCGTGCTTAATCCATCTTCCATCATCTGAAATGTTGGAAAGCCTTGCCCAAGTACCAGGCACAACTAAAAGGCCCTTGCCAACGTGGCCCTCAGGCTTGCTGCCTGAACCATCCAGCCCTGAAATCAGCTGTCTTGCTTCATAAGTGATCCTGAATCTCTCATCAGTGCTGTGGCCTACAACTGTGAGAGAGCCAGGTGCTGAAGTGTTGGCTGAAGGCTTCTTAGCTGAAGCTTTGGGCTCATCTGAAGCTGCTGTGGCTGAAGGCTTCTTAGCTGAAGCTTTGGGCTCATCTGAAGCTGCTGTGGCTGGCTGCTCCTTAGCTGAAGCTTTGGGCTCATCTGAAGCTGCTGTGGCTGGCTGCTCCTTAGCTGAAGCTTTGGGCTCCTGTGAAGCTGTTGCTGAATCCTTGGCTGCTGAAGTGACAGCCTCATCATTGTCACTTTCCCCAAATGAAAGCTTCTTCTTGATGCTCCCTGGTGAAGAGATGTCTGTGTCAAGGCTGGGCTTCCTCTCAAAAGAGGATGGTGCTGCTGAAGTGAAGCTGGTGTGACTCCCCTGCTTCCTGAAGTCAGGTGTGCTCAATGCTTGCCCCTGATGCCTAGGCAAAGTGCCCACCACAAGGCCAGGCTCATGCTTGTTGCTCAAAGCTTCTGCAATGGCATCCCTGACCCCTGAAAAGTCTTTGGTGCTCTGCTCTGAATGCATCTCATGCTCTGCAAACAGTGCCTTCTTGCCCTGAGACTTTGCCCAAAGGGGCACTTGGTCTGAAAAACCAACCATGAAATGCTCAGATCTTGCCTGAACATACTGCTCAGGTGCTGCAACCAAGCCTGAAGCTTTGAGCTCTTGTGCTGAAGCCAGTGTTGCCATGTAAAGTGCTGAATCAAAGGCTTGCCATGTCAATTGACACCTGACTCTGGACTCAAGCTCGCTTATGTTGCTGACAACCTCAGCTGTCTTCCACTTCGAGCCTGTGTTGTCTAAAAGCCTCTTAGTGAAGGACTTTGCATAACCTTTGGACTCAAGAAGTTTCTGCTTCCTTTGCCTTGCAAGGTTTGCCTGAGCCTCAAGTTTGATCTTGTCAAACTGTGTCCTGGCCTTTGAGGCCTGAAGTATGAGCTCCTCAGCCTTCTGATCCAAGAGAAGCAAGTATTCCTGAAACAAGTCTGACTTGCTCAGTGTGTGTCCTGAAGTCCTCTCAACTTGAATCCATTGCTTGACCACAGGGATCAGAGACTTAAAGGCGTCCTTCCTGCCTGCACCTGAGGATCTCACCCTTGCTGACTTTGCTTTCTTTCCTGAAGGTGTCTTCTGCTTTTGCTGCTCAACAAGGTTGCTCCAGTGCTGCTCTTTGATCAAGATGTTCTGAAGTGCCGTTTTGGCCAAAGCATACTTCTGAACTTGGCACTTCCAGAACTCAGACTTGCTACTGAAGGTCTCCATAGCTTTCCTCATGTCTTGGCTCATCTTAAGCTTGAACTTTGCAGGAAACTCATGCCTCTTTGCTGTCTTCTGAGGCAACTTTCTGTTGGAGCTCTCAACTGGTGCTAAAATCAAAGCCTTTTTCCTGCCTCCTGGGTGTCTCTGCTGCTGCTTCTTAACTTTTGACTTCAAGTCAATGCCTTTCTCTAAAGCCAATTGCTGGATCTCCTCAAGATGCCTCTGAAACTCTTCTTTCATTGCCTCAGCCTCAAGCTGTGGTTTGCTCTTGTTGGCCCTGAAGTAGGGCAATTGAACATGCTTAAGCACTGGCTGGGCCTCCTTCTTAGCTTCAGGTGAACCCCAAAACTTGGAAAGTCCAAACTGAAGCTTTGCTTTCTTCTCAGGGTTTGCAGTTTCAGGGCCGGGGATGGTTTTCAAATTTCAGAGTTTCAGCTGGCTTTGGGTTCTGTGGTTGAGCAACCAATTGAAAGGGGAATGCTGTTAAGCAAGTGGGCCACCAATTGAAAGGGGATGCTTTTAAGCAAGTGGGCCACCAATTGAAAGGGGAATGCTTTTGAGCAAAGCAAGTGATAGTGTATTTTCTGGGAGGGGGGGCTGGGGGCTTGCCACTATTATGGTCCCCTAAAACAATCACATTATTGTGGTTCAGTGGGGTCTGTGAGGGGTACCCTTGTCCTGACTCGTTATTAAACCGTGCTAAAAAATTGCCAAAAAACAATCAGGACAAGGGTACCCCTCACAGACCCCACTGAACCACAATGTGATTGTTTTAGGGGACCACAATAGTGGCAAGCCCCCAGCCCCCCATCCCAGAAAATAAACTATCACTTGCTTTGCTCAAAAGCATTCCCCTTTCAATTGGTGGCCCACTTGCTTAAAAACATCCCCTTTCAATTGGTGGCCCACTTGCTTAACAGCATTCCCCTTTCATTTGGTTGCTCAACCACAGAACCCAAAGCCAGCTGAAACTCTGAAATTTGAAAACCATCCCCAGCCCTGAAACTGCAAACTCTTTATTAAACCGTGCTAAAAAATTGCCAAAAAACAATCAGGACAAGGGTACCCCTCACAGACCCCACTGAACCACAATAATGTGATTGTTTTAGGGGACCACAATAGTGGCAAGCCCCCAGCCCCCCCTCCCAGAAAATAAACTATCACTTGCTTTGCTCAAAAGCATTCCCCTTTCAATTGGTGGCCCACTTGCTTAAAAGCATCCCCTTTCAATTGGTGGCCCACTTGCTTAAAAGCATTCCCCTTTCAATTGGTTGCTCAACCACAGAACCCAAAGCCAAACCCCTAGTTGATAAGCTGCATTTGCTTCTTGTGCCATTGCTGGCTGAAGCCACTCAAACAGAAAAGTATCTGAGCCACTCATAGAAAAGTCACTGAATTCCAATGCTGCATGAATCTGAAGCTTGCACCTGAACCTTTCACCTGCACATGTATGAAATTGGCTGCACATGCTGAACTATTTTTGCAAAGCACATGGTCTGTCTTTGAGCTCAAGCTGGGCTGAAGAAAAGCTCACTGCTTCAGAACCACACCTAATTATGAACAATTTCACATGAGCTGAAAGATTAACACTGAAATGATTTCCTCAAATACTTCATTAGGCAATTACTCAAGTGTTCCAGTGAGCAGCAGGTCCGCCCAGCTCAATCATGCTCTAAAAACACTGCATTGTGCTGAAGAGGCACTGAAGTGTTCATCAGGCAATTCCATCAAACAACTCAAGCTGAACTTGAAACAGCAGCACCATAATTAATTGAACATGTTGGTGTCTTAGCCTGAAGTCGAGGCCTGCAATGCATGCCTGAAATGAACCTGAATGCCCCTTGACACTGGCTCAAGGAGTGTCAAAGCCTAGCTGAAGCGTCTGCCTTTGCTCAAAACGAGCAGCTTGTTGAAGCTTCCAACTGCTTTGCAGCTCTGAAGGCGCCCTCAAGCTAACCATCTCGCCTGTACCTGAGGTGATCAACCTTAGCTGCTGGCTGTTTGTAGCTAACAAAATAATTAGCGGCTTGGCTAACCAAATCCCACCAACATGAATGAAAGTTAATGAATCATATCAGCAAGTAATTAAATGCACAAGTTGAAAAAACAAAACAAAAGCAAAAAAGAAAGCAGCCTAATTAAGCCAGTTAAGTGGCTTCAGCCTGAGTGAGGTGCTCAGGCATCCTCCGAGGCGCAGCTGGAACAGGAAATTATCTGTGAAGCAGCTGCTGGGCCTTGATGATGAGATCCTGAACAGGGCTCAGCCAGCAACATGCTTGAAGATAACTTTAATTACCAACCAAAAGCAGCTGAAACATAAGCTCAAAGCTTGCTAAAGTAAATATATGTTTTCCAACATGGTCCTGTCGCCTTCCTAAGGCTGACCTCAAGGCAAAGGCTGCTGAGCTGAAAGCAGGGGCTGCTGCAAGCAATGCCTGATCTGTCAAATCCTGAGTCAAGTTGTTGGGTTCAAATCATTGCAAGTTATTTGAACTTCTTCCAAAAGCACAAAAAACATGATGCAACAACACCCGAGTTGCTGAAATGATGGCAAGTGTCAGCATTGAACTTAAAGTCCTCAACCTCAGGCCTCAAGCAGTTCGCCATCATGAGGTTGTGGTCCCACTCAATGGAAGGCTGCTCCCCAAGGTACTCCTTAGCCACACAGTGCCAACTAATTAATGATTAAATAGTTTTAATTAGTTTAATTATCAGCCCCCAGCCCAACAACATAGGTAATTAAAGCACAATGGTCACAGCCAAGGCTCTGAAACCAGCAGATCATACTGAACTGAATTCAGTGTCTCCCACTGAGCAGTCCTCAAGATGAGATCCCACTCAACCAGCTTGTCCTCAGCATTGAAGCAGAGCTCATGAAGTGCTCAATCATGAAAGGACCCAGGCCTAAAACAAATTTCACAAAACTAAAGCTATTTTATGCCAATTAGGCAAAGCTCTTGCACCTGAAGATGGAGTGAACCCTGAAGGAAGCTGAATCTCTCAATTGCCAGGAACTCTTGGAAAGCGGCTGGCCCTGAATGGCCTCACATGGCTGAGCAACAAGACTAAACATGCAAAACATTAGTAATTAAGTCATATGCATAACAATTTAGTCATTAACAGAACTGAAATAGATGACCACATTAAAAGGCATACCGAGGCACGTGGGCTGAAGTCACTGAAGATCTGGCTGAGGTGCCTGCAGACATCTCTGGGCGAGCCAGTCTTGGTGTCCATTCCTGAGTTGGCTGCAAGGCAATGCCTCAAACTTTAATTGCTCAGCAACAGAAAAAACAAGAAAA